TTGGTGAGTGAAGGATGTAGAATGCGACATGTGGGTTTGGAGGTACAGGAGTTGTGCACCCGCGCACCCTCACAAATGATCCAAGATGTGAGGCTTCCTTGCGTTAGAAACCAGGTGCCCAGTTTGGATTCAGGATGGCTGGATGGAGAGTTTCAGTGCCAAGGAGGATTCAGCTGGGATTCGGACTTTTCTGTCTTCTTTTGCAACTTGCGTTGTTGCTTCGGCGGTCCGGTTGTAGATCCTCGACTCCCACACCTCTGGTCGACCTTTCGAAAAACACCCGGTCCGATGGTCTGTCCAAAGGTCAGAGCAGATCTTAATTCTAGCGGTTGGCTCCCTTGATGTTGCATTCTAAGCAGAATAGATGCTGTTGACGGTAATATCCCAAACCACACCGGAGAAATGCCCTCATGTGCCAAAGGTCTGTTCAGCAGCATCTGGCAAAACAGCAGCACGTCCCGCAGAGAGAAGAGCATCGTAGAGCGACCGGCACCTTGAGAGACTTTGTGTGTGGTACAGTTCTTAGGGCTTGGGGCTGTAGACAGCCTTCGACTCCGTATGCAAACATCACTCGCCAGTTCTTGCTCTGCATTTCCGAACGGCTTCCTGCATTCCTCGGTGCATGCATGGAACAAGCCCTTTCAGAGCCTCTTGACGAAAGTCGAAGCGTGAATGCCAACCAGGCGGTCCAATCGTCGGATTTGTTTCACCATCCGGGAAAAAAGTCATAAACAAATGAGGCACCCCACAGGCCGCCAGCTGCTGGCACGCCGCCAGCGTAGGCGGCTGCGGAGCCTTTCACATACCTTGAACTGACTAGTGACTAGTGACTGGGTCTAGGATGATATACGTTAGATATTTCTTGGCTCGAGTTCTCTCAAATTCGGATCTGCATCTTCGTAGAACTGCAACCGAGCTTCATGCTGTCTTCTGCTCTGGAGCCGTCCAGTCGCTGCAGCCAACGCTTGGATACACCCTCACCGTTATCAAGGAATACACAGGGAAAACATGCTGCCGAGATCTTCGAGCTTTTCATGTCAGCTCTGCCCACTCAGAGTCCCATGAAAACAGGACCCTTCGTATAGAGTTGTTGGTGAATCGCGGTTGGGCATCGGCTCCATGCGGGAATTCCCTCAATAGCTTTCTATATAGCTCTGCCTTGCTACTTGTGCCCCTTTGAGTGACGAACTTTGACCTGCCTTGTCCTTCATCAGGCGGTAGTATCCAGCTAGGTGTGCAGTTCTGGAGCGCTGCACCATGAAGCTGGTATCTCGCATACCAACCCGATCCAATACCTCATCAGTGTCTTAAGAGCGTTTAGAACTAACAGCAGTGCTAGTTACTGCTAGTTAGGACTTGGATTGAAGGGCAGCATTTCTCAGCCGCATTCTTCCAAGATGCACGAGTTTGGATGATCTTTCGAAGCGGCTGCCCAGTCACAATCTCCATGACCTCTTCCACGGCGGAGAAGGCTTTCGAGCTCAGGGCAGGGGCTGAAAAAAAGTAGAAGTTTCCGAAGTCGAGCGGCATGTCCGAGGACATCGAGGCTCATACCATATGCATAGTTGCTTCCTGGTTGATGCAGCAATGGTAGACCTGGCCAGGTACAGCTTCGGCTCAGAGAAATGACAACTTCACTGTCGGCAGGCTCTTTGCACGGGTTTTATGCTGGGCTTTGCCTGTGAATGCCTGGGCAGGCCTTTAGGACTTTAAGGCTCCAAAGCTCTCGCCCTTCATGCAGGTTCAAGGGATGCATGCTAGAAGCTTGCACACGACGGCTCATTGAGAAACATCATGGTCCATCTATCTTGGGCTGTCTAGTTGTGCTGGGCTGCGTGCCAACTCCACGCAAAGCTTTTCGAGGGTGTTGATGTCACCTTGTAGAGAACTGCGTCCATGCGCAGGTCAACAACACTCGCACTGGCTTTCGGAGCTGAATACGGCCAAGCCACCCCCTTCCTGCCTCACTGTCAGGCTCTTGTAATGCTTTTCCTCTGCCGATCTCGCCACCAGAGGAACACCCGGTGTTATCGATCCAGGGCCGTAGCCAAGTCCAGAGGTGTGCATCAGCAGGTGGCACAGGGTCATAGGCTTCTTGAGGGCCTCAAGGCCTTGGCCATTCTTCCTGCGGACCTCACGCCAACACAAAGTGTCAGAGGACCAGAACGAGAGAGGGCGCTTTCTGGAACCCTTCTTTCCTGCTATGGTCACGTGTTGTCTTGCGCAGCACTCTTAGAACAATCTGCCCACATCAAGTCCATCCGTGAGGCTTGGTTCGGGGCCTGCACGTGTCACCAGAAGTCTTGCGAGGTAGGGGTCCAAAATGTTTTTTCGTATCATATTACTACTAATACTGTATTAATACTATACAAGAACTGCAACTCTCTCTCTCTCTCTCTCCCTCCGTCTCGATCTCTAGCTGCAGGTCGAAAGTCAGACCGGGCGCCTGAAGATTTTTGAAGCTGGGGATGTACCGGTGAACGGGGTCATGAAGCCCCACCGTGCCATCGTCAACCAAACTCATGAAGGCTGTGGCTGTGATGGGCTTCATCATGGAGTACCTTCGGAACATCACACAACACCAAAGAAGCGACGGCCTGCCTCCGTCAGCACTTACATCTATGTAAGGGAGGGCACCCGCGAAACAAGGTCTGCGGCGACATTCGGTGCCTTTTGCTTTTGTCCGTGTAGCCACATAGGTTCCTCGGACGTCAGGTAACAGTAGCCTGCGAAATGCTGTTCCGTGGCCAAGTAGGGCTCTGAACAAAGGCATGCTGTCTATCTAGCTCTTGCACGTGTGCTTGAATCTCTTCCGGAAAGGCTCGTGAATACCACTTTGCCATTGCACAGCGCTGCCTCTGCAAATCCAGGAAAGACGCCACGGTCCTTCAGAATCTCGGGTTTGGGGCACGGGAAGTAACATCTATCAGCACAGAACATACTTGTACCTCTGCTCACTGTAAAACAAAAGTCGAAATAGCTGACTGTGTCTTTGATTTGGCCTCTGCATGAGTGCTGCTCGCAAACTGCCTTCAGACGGTACAGAAGCAGAACAAGCAACAAGAGTCCGAGAAAGAGGCGTCCCTCCGCTATCTCTCTCTCTCTCTCGCTCTCCCTGCCTGTCTTTTGGTCCTGTTCTTCTGCTGCAGACGCAGGACACACACGCAAGCGCACATCCTTGCGCCACATCCGTGCACGAGGTCGGGTGAGATTTCACTACTCTCCCAGTCTCTATGCATCTGCGCAGACAAGGAAACTTTGCACGAATCCTCCCCATGCGGAGGCGTGTCCTGCAGGTCTCAATGTCTCTCTCTCTCTCTCCCTGGGTCTCTCCCTGCGCTGCCGCCGGGGATCCAAGTGCTGTTTGATTCTGTGACGGTGGGCTTCAAAGACCACCCCGTCGAGGCCTTCGTCCTTCAAAACAGGGTCGAGCTCGAGATATCTACGACATCCAGGCATTCAGCACGTTCGGGCACCAAGGCTTTGAAAGCATGCGAGAGCTTGTCATCTTCCGACATCGGGCAAAGGTTCGGGGATCGAGAGCAGACCAGACATCGCCCGAGCAGGACCAAAGTTACGAGGAGGGGCAGAGGACCACGACGACTGCCGCGGCTGACATGCTCGCAGCCCTTCATGTTCTGCCCCTGGAAGCGGCAAGGCTAGAGGCTGGCGCCAGCAAGACACTCCGACCTGCCTCAGTCCTCTGCAGTCTGAGCTCTGTACAGCACGAGCACACAAGATGCGAAGTCAAATATACCATCAAAGCTCGAGTCCTCCGGCACCCCGCGGTGGAATCCCACCGCCACCATGGCAGAGCTCCCATCGCTGGCCATGGCAAGGAAGGGTGTTCCAGGATTGTCCCAGGGTATGAGATGCTTTCTGAGTTTTGGAGGCTTTTGCGGCCTTCCGTCGGGTTCACAGTTGGGAAGCAGGAAGATGCCATGCTGGAGGCAATGGGGATTTTTGCCTTCTTGGAGGATCGTGGGGGGATTCATGCTTGATTGGCTCACTGCTATGGCGGCCATGAGTGCTTCGCCAGAGTGCTCCGGCTTTCAGCTGGTGTCCATGGCTCACACGATGGGATTGCCAACTACCCCCGCCAGCGGACTCCAGCGATAGTCACAGGGCAGTAGGCAGCAGACCCTGCTTAAATGTCTATCAGCAAATTCTGACGATTGTTGAGGTTGAATCTGTTAGAGAAATCTCCTAACTCAGATGGATCTCTCTCCGATGATTCCGTGATTTTGTCCGGCAGCCGCGACGGGGTTTGGCGATTTGGTTGGAAGCGTGTGTGCTCCAGGACGATGGGCATTCTTCTTGTACTACTCTTTCACGGCCTGTGTCCGTTAGAACACAAGTGAAACGAAGGACCCTTCATCTGATATCTTTTGGACTAGCAAACCTGGACTAGACTCTGCATCCCAGGAAGAAACATTCCATCTATCAGCCAAGTCTTCTGCCACACCCCTCTCCACAAAAGCTGTTTCTCTGCATTCAAAGCCTGTGGCTCGCCCTGCAAAGCTGTCCCTGACCGTGGCGACTTCCAATGCTACAAGTAACAGCAGGTCAGCAGATTCAACTATGAATTCTGTCGTTCTGTGCTATGGCTTACAGGATTCTTGCTTGCAGGTGTATTCCACACTTCTCCGGTGCAGGTATCGGTCGGGGACAGCAAAGACTCTTTGCTCGCAGCACACAGCAACCACCGTGCGCAAGAACGCGGACGTGATGCGTTTGCTGAGCAAGGCCGGCTGACATGATGCACAAAGCAGCCAAGACGGTGACAAATATGTACTACAAATGTTGTTTTTAGGTGATCGCATAATTGAGTGGACAGAGATGGACTTGCAGCCTCTGATGCACGGGCTTTGTGCCTGCTGTACAGTTCCAGCTTTTTTATACGTTGCTTTCTGAATGTGGGCAAGAACGCCGACATCCAGGTGCAATGCACAGATAAGCCACACAAAACTTAGGCGATTGGAGTTTGCCATCAACGCAAGTCAATAAATTTCACGACCCAGCTTGCGCCGGGGATTTATCAGCAAAAGCGCACCTGTTGTCTGGGTCACCAGACTGTTCTCGCTTGCCGTGTCGCCCTGGATGTCAAGGAAGGTTCGCTTCACGACAAGTCGCTCCTGGACAATTGCAGCGCATCGTCAACCACGGCCCTGACCCCCCAAACCCGGAAATGCAGAGAACTGTCCCAAGCCTAAGGCCCTCAGACCGAGAGCCCCAAAAGAAGCCCCTACAAAACCCAGGAAGCACGCACCTCAACACCGATAAATCCCGCTTTCAACAAGGCACAAAGCTTACGGCACTCCTGCAGCTCCACCGGCGGCAGTTCCGGCAGCGAGGTGCAGTTGGCGGAAGTGGCGAACTCTCTCTCTGGTGCCTGAATCGAGGTCTGCATTGCAGTTGTTACCGCAACGAGTAGCTGAAATCAGGAGCATTGTCATCATATTGGGATTCTTGCGATTGAACATTTGAGAGTTGTGCTATGACGATTATCTAGAGAGACGTAATGGTCCCCTCCTGGGTCGGGACTTGAGCCGTTGAGAAGTACATCTGATTTCACACGCTCCCTCGCAAATAACTTCACGGAACATGTTTGACGGGTGGTTCGAACACACAAAGATGTAAACCAGCGCTTCAGAATTGCCTATATGGTCTCCCATTTAGCTCCTGATTGGACTGTAATCTTGGCCCTTCAAAAGTCCTCGTCGGGCGCATTCCGTGCCAAATGCTCTCCGGGAACTAGGTCTTTGTATGAACGGAGGGTTTCTTAATCGGGGGGAAGCGACTATTTGCCTTAACATCATTTTTGACATAAACGCACACACGCACACACATCTTCGCTTGTCCAAGTAAGCGCGTGTGTCCACTGATGACTCCATTTGTCTGTGCACTAGAAGGCTGGGTTCTTGTTAAGGATGATAGGGATCTACAGTAAATAAAATGGTTCTCTTTATTCTACAATAACTAAAACCTAATCCCTTAACAAGAATCCAGAAGACCTCGTCGCAGGAAGCCCCGCAGGAAGCCGTGGTCCGGGAACGATCTGCCAGCTTCGGCCGCTTCCTGCCCGGCTATGCAGCAATGCGTTTGAGGAGCTTCAGGGCGACCCATGGCGGCTTCTGCGCTGCACTGCTTCCATTCTTGTTCCTGGCATGTTTCCAGCATTCAAACCTTAATTCTTCGCTACGATTCGGCTCCTTCGCAGACTTAGTCTTGCCTTGCCTGTGAATTCTATGCTGGCTCCCAGTGTTCGTGGGCAGTGTGTGTGTGTGTGTGTGTGCATCAGAATGGCTAGCTTGAGATTTCTGACTGATGCGAATACTATATAGGGGCTTAAGTCACTACCAATACCGTTTTGGGGCTCCTTAGTATAAGTATTGTATAATAGCCCCAAAGCATTAAGGCCCCTATAGTATAGAACCCTACTACAGATCCTTTATAGAACCTGTAAAGGAACTCTATTCTAATGGTTAAGGCCCTATAGTATAGAACCCTACTACAGATCCTTTATAGAACCCTCTGGAGGAACCCTATTCTAATGGTTAAGGCCCTATAGTATAGAACCCTACTATAGATCCTTTATGGAACCCTCTGGAGGAACCCAATTCTAATGGTTAAGGCCCTATAGTATAGAACCCTACTATCGATCCTTTATGGAACCCTCTGGAGGAACCCTATTCTAATGGTTAAGGCCCTATAGTATAGAACCCTACTATAGATCCTTTATACACCACCGGGCCGAAAGTTTCGACATGCAGCTATTATAACATAGATGTATGCCGCGGAGAGGCGGAGAGCCCCAAGACCCATTTTACGTGGCCAGCGTGGCGGAGTAATTACTTTCCGGGAATAAACCCCGACCTTAAAGCCACATGTCCTGGCTTGGTTGGGAGGATCAGCCATGATTCCAGAATCAGCGGGCAATTCGGGGCTTGCAGTCCAGCATTGCGGAAAGATAACGACATCCACTGCGTACTCCGTTCAGTGTTGCTAACGAATGCGACGAAACTTTAGTACCGGGCATGCATTGCCGTGACCCTTTTTTTCAGCAAATGACACTGCCTCACCCCGACCTTAAAGCCACATGTCCTGGCTTGGTTGGGAGGATCAGCCATGATTCCAGAATCACCACCGGGCCGAAAGTTTCGACATGCAGCTATTATAACATAGATGTATGCCGCGGAGAGGCGGAGAGCCCCAAGACCCATTTTACGTGGCCAGCGTGGCGGAGTAATTACTTTCCGGGAATAAATTTATACTATTACATAGTTTCCGGCGGAGAGCTTTGCGGGGTTGTGCTAGGATTCTACGGGGGAACAGGGGTGAACATGTGGTGATCTCTCAACTTCATGTTGTATGGCGAACTTTCGTCCTGCGGTAGCGGGCAATTCGGGGGGCTTGCAGTCCAGCATTGCGGAAAGATAACGCCATCCACTGCGTACTCCGTTCAGTGTTGCTAACGAATGCGACGAAACTTTAGTACCGGGCATGCATTGCCGTGACCCTTTTTTTTCAGCAAATGACACTGCCTCACCCCGACCTTAAAGCCACATGTCCTGGCTTGGTTGGGAGGATCAGCCATGATTCCAGAATCAGTAGAACCTTTAAAGGAGCCCTATTCTAATGACTAAGGCCCCTTTATTACCACAGCCTGCAGGGAAGCTGCGTCAAGACCCGTACCACCAGCCCCTCAAACGCGATCTGCGTGAGCACCTCCAGGACGGATGCTTGCACCGGATGACCATACCTAAATCGCAAAAGTAGGTAAAATCATGGCACAATTCCTAAAAACCTGCTATTCTTTTACATACTTTTGGGGTCCAGGTGCAACCGAAGCTTGGAAAGGAGATGCCATCGGAAAGAAAGGCAAGGCACCCACACACACACACACACACACGCATAAGTCTGAGACTCAAACAAACCCTACACCACTCGCCATGACTGGCATGCCCTTCCACGAAGAGCCAACGAATCCCATCCCTTGAGTCCTAAACAGCCTTAAGCCATCTGGGCCGCCCGAAAGGCTCCTTGTGTCATGTGATTGATGATACAATTCCTGCATTAATTGCCTTAAGGACCCTAAACTCTGGGAATTGTGGTATATTCCTTTCTATGCGTGATGCTGGATTTCTATCATCAACCGTCGCACCTGGTTGCGCCGATGCAAAGGCCCATCACTTTGATCCAGGATCTTCCTTCGTGATCAAGGCTTGAAAGAAGCTCCGAGTTTAGGGCAAAAAATCGGAGCAAGTTTCCACATGAGAGCCTGTCTCCCGACTGGAATTGGGTTCAGTAGATTTCTCTCAAGTTTACACCTGCACTGACATGCGGCTGAACGGGCTTTGCTGCACCCTGAAAAGGCATCTAGCAGAATCTAGCGGCATACCAAATACCATGCAGTGAATCTCGAGTCGAAATCTATGGCCATTAATGAACATACCTCTGTAACATAGGAATCTCCTGTCAAGTCTCCTCAGCCCCTGCTGCAGAACCACAATCTACAATAACATGCCCCACTGCTCGATCAGCGGCGGCAACCCCACACTTGCCTGGACAATTCTAAAGCCTTGTCCTTAGCGAAGTGAGCAAACCCCGTCTAGCTTAGAGTGGTTGAGACTGAGCGGCTTCGCGATCTCGATTTCCGTGACTGGAAGAAGTAATACAGCTCCTACAGGGAATGTCTCAGGGCTCCGCGGCTCCACATGGCCTTCAACAAACATGCAAGGCCAAAGACTCTGCTCCTCTGGTCCAGCTCAGGTCCTCAACGGCCTGGCACCAAGCTTATGACATCAGCGCTCCAAGCTCTAAGTCCTTGAACTTTATGTGCTGCTTGCAGGATCTTACAGGGACGATTGAAATCCGACACAGTGAGCTGCGGATGTTAAGCCACGACTATCTTCTCGATTGCCTCGCACTGTGAGCAATTTTGTTCATGACCCAGTTTCATGAACAGCATTGTCCTGGCTGCAATGCCTGTTCCGAGAAAAGCAGCTGGGGCACTTCGAGACTGCAACTCGCGAACCAAGCGGCACACCGCGATGCCCAATTCGCAATCCGATGAAGTTCAGCTTAAATCCTGTACTTGGTAACCCTGTAGTCCGGAATCCTCACAACCGTCATACGGCATTACCTTACTTGCCCTAGAGAAGGGAATTGTGGTATATTTCTTATTCTGGGTAACGCAGGACTGATATCCCTAAACCCTATAAGCCCCAAAACCCCACTATAGATCCCTTAAAGGAAGCCCATAAAGGAACCAGGATTTATATCATCAACCGTCACACCCAAAAAACCCTGGACTACAGAGCCCGGCCTCTGCTTCCTGGACCGCCTGCCGAAGCATCAGGAGGTCCTGCGGAACCGCAGCGAAAGCCGCCGGACACTAAACACCTCAAGTCTTTGATGAATAGAGGCCCTTTCAACTAAAAAGTGTTACAATGCAAACGAACGAAATTGTCAGAGTATGATATATATGTATATACATATAGCTTGGATAGGATACTCTGAGAAACCGCGCAGCATACACATGCAGACGGAAAGACAGAAGGGCCCGCAAGCAGACAGAGAGAGACAGGGCGACAGACGGACGGACAGACAGACAGCCGCATGCGCACGCACACACGCACACACAAACGCCACACCAAGATGCTGTACCGGTCACGACTGTTGGCTTGCGGACATTACCATACCGCTATTGATGTCATTGTACATGGTGGTTAGAAAGCTGCTTCGGCACGACCTGAAAACTTGGTAATTACCACTCGCTTCCCTAGTGCCCTACCAGCTCGTATGGGTTGACGTGAACCTTTGCTTGAGCGAAGGCTACGCCCAACCGGCAAAAAGTGAGAAGTTGGGATGATTGCTATCGGAGGTGCGAACTCCAGAGTTTTTCAAGCAGCAGCATGAGCGAACTGAACCTGTTGTTGTAGGCCCCTGGTGCCTGCTCCTCCGTCGGATCGCGCAACAGGGTCGAGCGGATCACGTTGGTACTGCCTTTGAAAGTCAGCAGCACCCAATCCTTGAGAGCGGGTGCAAAATCTGGCTTCCGGACACATACATTGGAAAGAACATGCAAGACACTTACTAGCCTAAGAAGCCTCAACCCTCCTGCACGCATGGCGGTAACCCCAAGACACCTAAAGCTTTCGACCCTCCGATGAGGGCAAGCCGCTGAACTTGGAGCCGATGTCTCGAAGGCATCCGGCCTGTTGCCATACTCACTCTGACTGTTACCCGCTGCCACAGATCAAGGCCAATGGTTAATTCGGGTAAGGCAACCCGACCCCTGCAGCCTTGCACCAGCAGGAACCTGGGGAGGAGGCTCGAGAGGTTCTGATCCAGCTGGGGCTGTCGGAGTTGCCACCGCTGCATGCTCGTCAGAGGCGGACTGTCGGCCAATCTCAGAACTCACTTGCGGAATACTATCTTCAGCCATAGATGTCCGAGGGACCGGATGTTGCGCGTTTGCTGCGCTGCATCCGACAGATTGCAGATAGTTCGCCGTCTTGGGCAGCATGTTCGGCCATCCTGGACATTCCTCCAGAGCCCGGTGGAGAGCAGGGATCATGGCAGACAGGCCGGGGCGAGTCTTTCGGGGCCGCATCCTCAGCGCCGCAGGACGGTTTAGTGTGGTTTACTGTCGAAGTCGGTCTGGAGTTCTTAGATTTCGGGGCTCATGGCAAAGCATTGCTTGGCACTGCGCCAAGCATCTTGGCAAAGTGAAGAACGGCTCCATCCACCATTTGTACTATCTGGCCCAGGACCCGCTGCTTTCTGGCACTAGGAAACTGCAAAGTCATTGCCCACTCTGGTAGCGCTGCAGCCTGCCCCACCCAGATCTGCACGATGCGCTCGACGAAGTCCACCCATGATGCGTTCAAGGCTGGCTCAACTGCAGAGACTTTCAGGAGGATTTCCTTGGGGAGCAGCACTCGCTCTAGGTAAGCTGGAGCACACAGGAGTGGGTTGAATGCCTTGAAGTTGGCCAGCAGGTTGCTTTCGAGCTGCTTGTTACGGCTTTGGTTCTCGAGCAAGCTGTAAGCCAGCCTCTTCGGCGTGAAAGCGAGCTTGGCCAGTCCCTTCAGGGCATACCTGTCCTCTGGCAGGTAACGTCCAGCCCGTGCAGGTAGCTCAAACTGGAAGTCCAAGTTCCGCGAGTTCAGGCCCGCGTGAAGGAGTGCTTCCAGGGTGTCTGCGAACTCTGTGAGTACAGGTGACGACCTAGATGGGGCTTCGTTCCACTGAGGTAGAAGATCGATGGACCTCCATGCCGGAGGTGGATCTTCCTGTAGCCTCTTTACGACAGCACGCCCGAGGCCTATGCAGGTCTCCGCCCTTGAGCTGCAACCCTTGACGGCAACGCGGTGGCAGGAGCTGACGGCTTTCATCAAACGGTTCATGTCGTCTTCTGTGCCCCTCCTGAAAGAAGCATTCAAGATTAGAAGGGACTTGCCTGCTAATCTTCCGGAGCATTCCTCAAGTGTTTGTGCCAAGGAGGCCAGGGACAACTCGGAGCCTTCGCAAGCCTGGAGAGGGATCATTTGCCGACTGCTCGGCGTCGCGGCTGATCTGCTGTCCCGTTCCAAGCTGGCATCGATTACCAGCTTCGGTAACTCTGGTGTACTGCTCTGGATGTGGATGCCGGCATCCAACATGCTTCTGTTGAAAGCTGGAGCAATTACATTGAAAGCTGCTCTCGGATTTCCCTTGGACCCACGTTTTTGCAGTCGCTCCTCAATGATATCTATTAGACTCTGACCGCTCTTCGTTCTCGACTGCGCGACGCGGCCAACCCGGTCATGCTCTTCTGCCCAAGCCCACAGGATTTGCAGGAGCTTCTCATCGCCTCTGTATGCGGCAATGGAGAATGCATTATTTCCCCACGTGCGCTCCTGCCACAAGGGATCAGCAAGCTGCAGCCAAGGATGTTCGGCCGTCTGGCTGCAATACCCATGAAGAAGGAACTCGACGCACTTGCACAATCCGTGTTCACAGCCTTGTCAAGGGAGAGACTTTTAGAACGAGTATGAACAATGGGACCTGCCGCTTAAAGGCTTACAACGTCGCTTCGTCCTGCCAATTCTCTGAGACTGGATTCAGGGGTGGTTGGAGTGTTGTTGTTGGTAACTCGATCGTGTCCAGCAGCAGCAGCAGCAGCGGCAGCAGCAGCTGACGTCGTTGTCGTCGCCACATGCGAAAAATACGTTTTTTTGCTGCAGATGTGCGGAGCCATGCGCAAGCTTGAGTTTTGCCAGGGCAGACGCGAACTGCTGCTAACGTTGCAAATATCAAAACCCTGATGTGAGTCAGAGATGCTGGGTGGAACGGAAGTTGCGGTGGGGCTTTGAGCCTTTGTTCCATGTGCTTACGTATATCAACCAACCGCATGCTTCTCAAACCAACAATCGGGTTGATCTGGTTGTACCTAGTGAGCCCGTCGGAGTCTTGATGCATCCCCGAAACCCACGCCCTTAATCATCCATGTCTGAACTGCTTCAGAGCCGCAGAAGTGAAGCAAAGTCAGGCTTCCCAAGCAACTCAGTGTGGCGAGAGTTTTGTAAAACCTCGCATTTGAGGTGTCGCCGGTCATGAAGTAGTCCTCCAACAGTTGTCTGAAGTCCTCTTCCTGAAGTGCAGCTTCGATCAACCTTGGGTCGTCTTCTTCCTGTAGCAGATCGAACTTTTCCTGTACCGCCGCATACACAAGGTCTAAATGGGTGCTGAAATATGTGGAGACCACATTGGGCGGGCCTTCGGGCTTGTAGCGGAAATCGCGGATGACGACCTGCAGCGCAAGACGCGATTGGGGAAATCAAGCAGTTCTGGACGTAAGCGATCTGGAGGGGTTTTTTCCGTGAGAGTATTTACATGGAGCCGTGCAGCCAAGAGGCATGCCAAATTCCGGCAGCACCTTGCATTTCTGCTAATGTGGAGGGCGTCACTTGCTGCTCAAAAATCCCCATAGACACCAGCTCGGCCCACTGGAAGTAGCGAAGGACCATGAAGCGGTAGGGCTTGTTTGAGGCTAAGTGCCCCGAGCTGTCATGTGTCACCAGCTTCCAACCCGATTTGAGAGTCTCGTTGACACATTTAGAGGCCATTTCCCTCGAGCCAGCATGCCCAAATAGTGCCTCGACTGCGTTCGTGAGGTAACTGGTCCGGCTGGCTATGGTCTGCGTGTCTGCCATGGCAGCTTCCGCGTCTGGGGCTTCTCGATTCGTCGGAAAGCTTACGGCTGCAAACCAAGCCTGCATATATCCTTCCAGCATCCTATGTTAGATAATAATCTATATGTTTGTCTGTCATTGCCTGTTCAACATGTATCAACCTGTATTACGGCAGTATGCACATCCTTATGACGACCGACAGGGAGTCATCAGAAACGGTACAGTACGCACCAACGACTCCTGCATCCTGGTCACGGGCTTCCCACCCTTTCGTCTGCCGAGCTATCCAAACACGAATGTAGTTATAATGAGGTGCTAGGTTCTACAAAGCCTAAACTAAGAGCGCAGGACAGCTCTGAGTCTCTAAGCCGTCAGCCCTAAACCCCCCAAGCCCATGTACTTCGCAGACTCACCAATACTGGGGCCGAAATAATTACCGATACTATTTTTGGCGGTTCCTTATTGTAACTAGAGTATAACGGGGCCCAAATCCCTATGCTAATTAGTAAGGCCCCTATAGTACGCTCATTTTCTGGACGAGCTCAAGGCTTGGGATGCTTTGCTTTGGGTGCGCGATTCGCGTCAGCTCGGCTGACGTGGCCACCGTAAGCTTGGGGCGCCTGGGTTGCCGCCCACAACTCCGAAGAATGTTAGTTCTAGAAAGCCCGGCCACCCCAAGAGAATTCATGTAAAGTAGCTGAACTCCACAAAGCATAGGAAGTCCATGAAGCATACTTGAACTTATGGACCTCTGAGCCCTGGTGGCAGCTGGAGACCCTTCGGCTGGCACTCCCAGTGTTGCGCTGAAGAACTGCATGAGGGAATCAGCAGCACAGTGGTCCCTCAAACCTCCCAACTTTGGAGGTTCAGATCTCTTTGTCCCTTCCAGGCTCTCACTTTGGCCCCAAAGGCCTTCAGGACGCGACCGGCTTGGCCTCAGGCTTCGAGAGCTTCTCCGGTCCGAAAGCACTTGGCCGAGCCTCGAAAAGCCGCGAGAAGTAGAAGTTGGTGGCTGTCATGTCCTTGCGGGTGACCTGGGCCACATGTCACCGTTGATCCGCATGATGAATGACGACTGTGACGACCATGGCCGTCTTTAATGCTTTAAGCACAGGGAGGTGGGATATGACCATACCCTCAGCCATTAAGCCATCGGCCTGGTACCCTGCTTGCTGCAGTGCGGCCTGCCGTGCTATCCAAGCGCCAAGACCAAACGAGAACGGCACTTCCGACAAGCGTTGCAGAAATCACTGCATTTCTCAGACTGCCTCCACATCTGCCTCATCATGCAGGTATGCACCTGCATGAACGAAGCAACTTATCAGACACACAGCAACTTTGGGCAACGGCTTCTGTCAGTTGCTCACTAGCAAAGGCAGATCTGAACTTCTGCCAAGCTGCGGGTGGTCTTGGACTTGCCAGGGAAAAGCTCGCCGATTCGCTTGAGCAGTTTGTAGTACCTGATATTTCCCTTTATGCAAACTCGCTCTCGATTCGCTGCCTGGGTGCTTCGTACTGGTACTTGCTGGAACATATCCCTTACATCTACCTAGGGGCCCCATAGTAGCTCCTTTTTGGGGTTCATATTTAGAATCCTATAAGGTAATCCCAAAAAGGAACTACTATGGAGCCTTAGGGTAGCAACAGGAGCTGCTTCTCGCTACTCGCCGCCTAAGGCGCAAAGCATTGAAATGTGGCTGATGCAATCCACTGCTAGACAGTGTCGCGGTCCCCCTCGCGTATCGAGACGGATGTCACCCAGCGACTCCATAGAGCTGTGTATGTTCAGGGAGTAAGCTGGGAATGAAAAGACACATCCAGCCAAGAAGCTTCATGAAGTCGCGAAAGAAACGAAATCCAGCGAAAGCCGAGGATCTGACCAAGTCTTGGGCGCAAACGACAAGATCAGCCTCTCCTTGCTGAGCCTGCTCAGTGCATCAGTGCTGTCAGCTACTGGCAGCAGTCCTGCAGCAGACTCGTGACAACCAAATTCAACGAGAAAGTGGAATTTGTTGCGTGGTGAAACGATATGAACACAAGCGGCGCGTAAGCAGCAGCTGCACAACCGCGTGATATGTTAGTCAGCTACTGGGTTTTTGTCGCATGGAAAACTCCGTTTGTCCACACATGCAGACACACACACACACACGCACACAGTCTGGACAACCTGAAGATTAGATAGCCCAGATCCGCCAGGTCAGCGAGCGCACCCTGCCAGATGTTGCACCATCCCAGACATCTTGTCCGGTGGGTAGTGGATGAGTACCTGCCAAGAGAAAGAGACACAAGGGAGAGGTTGGGTAAATAAGTACACATACTGTATATCTTATGTTATATAACTGAAGTTATATGTGTTTTGAAACTTGTGCCGCAAGTTTCAACATCTACTACGCCATACGCGTACGTCATATCATCTTATATTGGACAATGCTACTACACTGTATCTTGGTATATTGCATTGTTGTCATGCGTTACATATGTTTTATGTTGCGTGCATGCACGAACATATATGTGTACACATATTTACATCTGTGCATATATATATATATAGAGAGAGAGAGAGAGAGAGAGAGAGACATATGATTACATATGCATAAACATTTCATGGTGACATCTGTGTATAACATGTAACCAATGCCCTATTTGGCATTGATGGTGCATTATTGTTGTACCTGGTAGGTACGCCACAGATAAGTTACTACAAGGGCCGTCCTTATAATGGGGCATAATGGGGTCCATTATACTATCCATTATGCGGTAATCACAATAAGGACCCCCTCCCCCCCCAAAAAAAAAATAGTATAGGTAATTATCTAAGCCCATATAGTACCCTTATAGTAACCCTCATAGACCCCTTTAAAGAAACCCCTATAGTAGCCCGTATATTCGGATGGCTCTCCGACACATGGCGCACATCCACGCAGCACACCGTGTCGTAGGAGCCAGAAATCGCCTGCATGCTCAGTACTCAGCAGGTGTCTGATAGAGCCAGATATGGGAGTTTCCGCGAAAGGGTCTATAAAGGTTCTATAAAGGGTTTAGGATAAGGGAGGTTCCCGAATATTAGGGGTACGATATTTTCGGGTCCTTAATTTGGGATCCTACTGTTTAGGTACTACATTAGGGTTCCCTATTTGCGGAAACTCCTACATAGCAACCGCACTGTCTTGCCGATCCATGTCTAGGACTTCACTGAAGAGTATTGCGCCTCCAGGTCAGAAGTCGAGAACCTGGCATCATATGCAGCCATGCTTCCGCAAACCCCAAGCTGATGTGATTGAACTTGCGAATTTCGCACAAACCACATGGCAAAAGGCAGTCACGTAGACAACATGGATTCTTGGGCAACCGCACATGTTTCATGGCGCCTGCCACAAGAAAGTCTTCAACACTTGAGCGCTGCCATAAGACAATTTCTCTTCTTGCCAAGAACTACTGTTGATGGACAAAAGCCTGCATGACCCTAAGGACTCTAAACTATGGGAACTATGGTATATTCTTTATCATGGGTAATGCAGGAATTTGTCCATCAACAGTATCATGAGTCACTCTCTGCACTTTCTCCGAGGACTGAGCTTTGGCAGTTTCTCTGCTGGCAGCGATTCTTTGGCTCGAACTGCGGCCTGCGCCGGTGTGCTCAAGCAACACGGCTCCGAGTCCCAGCACATGTGGAGGTCTTGGAAACTTGGGGGGCTTCTTCCCAAGATCCTGCTATTTCAAGCTCATAGTAGGGTCTCTTACTCTCTGACATTCCCATGTCGCGTCTTGGTGTGGATGCCTCGCCCACCATAGCAGAACTAATGTCGCTGCCGTTGACCTGGGCTGCCGGCCGTCTTGCAGATACACGGACGCTCACAACCGTTCGCCACCGTATGCATCACAGGGCCGTACTGGGTGGGGCAGTGGAGCAGCATTGGCACACGTTTCGCACATTGGCTATGCTGTGGTCAGCAACACTCGGTATTGCGTAGTATTGGAGGACTGCCGTCAAGCTCGTCAAATGATGTCAACCGCAGGCACGCACTTCAACTGCGTAACTACCGGGACGCGATGACTGAGATGCACATGTTCCAGAGCCTGGGACCTGTACCGCCTGCCGACAGGGCCTGAGGTACACACCATGGCTCCGCGGCTGGCCAGTGGAATAGAGAGGCTGCCGGTCCCGCACCTTATCGATCCGATGCCAGACTGCTGCGCGCACTGTAGCCTCCACTGAGCAGTGCGATTGCCACCATAAGTGCAACTTCACTTCAACTATGCCCGTAAAACTCCCGCGGACGGACTCGGAGACGGAGCACTCCGTATTGTGATGGAGTGAACTACAGTAAGCCCTGACCATTTATGTACGCCATTGTATGCCTTCAGCCTGGGACTAGGCATCCCAATGGACATCACTGGGCACCATGCCCTGCATCGCAGACCGTTTTGCCGGAGATTGTGTTTGGATCCTGGTCGGTCAATTGATGGTACGTAACATTCTGCCATTCGAGAACTCTCGGCCTACACCACCTTACTACCCATGCTATGCATGATGCTTGTCATTGTCAGGTCAGTACATATCCTACCGCTGTGGATACGCATACATGTTTAAATGCGTATGTATATACATGACATGTAGATGTATATGTATACATATGTATGTATAGATGTGTTGGTACACACACAAGCTGTCAAGCAGTGCTTTTGTCTTTGCTGCTGTATGTATTGCCTGTAATTATACCCTGATAGAATCGCGAATAACAGCTGATTCGAATCTTTATGTGCTTCCATGTGTCATCATGCGCTATTCTGCGCTGCTATCGGGAGACTGCACTGCTAAACGTATTGGATACTGCAACATACGTGCGCTCTGTTGTCATCAGACTGTTACATGCTTGTATGTTTGTATATTATACACACGGTATACGTACACCTCAGTCCGAAAGAGTATCAACTACATGCCCGCACCGGTTCTTGCCGTTCTCCTGCCTTACTTGCTTCTCTCGTCCAGTTACGAGTCCATCGTTGTCTTCCACACTTCTATAGCCTTGCTGCAAACACCTTAACCGTCAAAGCACAGCTAATGCCGCTCCAGCCAGCCCAAGATCTTGTCGACAGTCTGCGCATGACCCACCCGGATGTCCTGAGGCAGTTTCGCTTCAGATCAGATCGCATCGCTGTTGGGGCCTGAGGGAATCTCGGCATGTGTATGTGTGTGTGTGTGCGTACATGAGCGTGCGTATATATATATATATATACACACACACATATTATACACGTACCGTGTATATGCATAGAATATCTTAATTAGGACTGCCAAGCGGCTTTCTGCACCGGGTTTACATCGTCGGTTTCTCCGTAGATCTTCTGCCATCTCTCGAAGCCTGCCGGCTCATAGCATCGGTGCGACAAGGTTGTCCGTGCTATCATTTTTATTAACACATGACTACGGTTATGAACTATGACCATGATTATTACAGTTATTATTAGTAGAAGTAGAACTAATTTTACTACTTGTAGTACTCGTATTACCACCATGATGTATTACTATTTCTGTAACTATTACTATTTATTAATACTATTATTACAATTACTATGATCATTGCCATGGTTTTTCTGTCATCTGCTTCTGGCTTCGTCGACCTTTCGGGCTTCCTGCAGCGCAAGACAAGTGCCATTTCGCAGGGTTTCTCTCGGATCAATTCCACTATGACCTCCTGAGGGTAAGAATTAGGGTGCCCTTTAAACGGGGGGTCTACAAGGGATCTCTATGAGGGTTCTATCATGAAAGCTGCAGTGCTTAACGTTGCGGCCGAGCCTGTGGTGTTGAAGTACTCCTCAACAACCTCAGCAGAGCATCATGTCCGCAAGAGCCAGACTGTCGCGAAAACACGCAGGCCCCTAAAGCTGGAACTTGCTGCGCACACGTTGCTTGGTGAAGATGCGTCATGCTCTATCTGCGAGCTAGAAAAGCCGACCTTCTTGTCGTCCACATCATCGTAAGTCTCGCCGCCGAGCCTTGTCTTATGGTGTTATTCGTCTTATGCTCGAGCTCTTTTTGTTGCATGTGCCGTGCAGCAACAAGTGAGAAACTAGCACCAAACGGCCGGATTGTTGCGCGACATCGCCCTAGGACGGATATTCCGCATTCTGCAGTAATCGAATTCTGTTGGACATGATGCCAAAGTAAACACTCGAGGCTCTGCTGCATGCCCAGCCGCGCAATCGAAACAACTGTAGAGTTCTTATGAAAAGAAGGTTTCATGTGTTTTCGGGAAGGTAGGATGGCCCAGCGGCGAGTGAGGTTTGAGGCTGAGGGATGAGGGGTTGGGGGATTTGGCCCTGACAGCAGTCATTCCCGACAGAACTCAGAGTGCTGAGGCCTGCTGGGACCACTCTTCTTGAATCACAGCGTGACATTGAAGCTAACCAAAGCTCATGCGAAACAACTTGTCTCGAGTTTGTGATTTCTTGTAAGTCGGATTTCTCTGGGACCTGCACTCACATGTCTAGGGGCCGAACGCAAGAGCGGCGACTCCGGCCAGGGCAACCAACAGGCCACCAATGAAGAACGGCAACTGAGAGGTTTCAGCCTCGCCGGCTGCCTGCGTAGGTCTTTCTTTCATTCATGATCGCCTCAATATCTGATCTTGCCTTTGTTTTTGACCAGAATCTCATCAACACTGGGAAGTTCATCTGCCGAGAAGACACGACATTGACATGGAGCCCTCGAGTCAACATGAAAGCCATGGTGTGAGATGGAATCTCTCTGGCCACGCAAGATGACCAGCCCCCATATCTGAACCTAAACTTTCACATGCCGTTTTTGCGTTGGTCAGGAGTCAAGACGCAGACTCTCTTATAATCAGACTTAGGTGGTCTCCACAAATTCCAACCATTTCGGCAAGGTTCCCCTCCAGATTTTTGCGATGCTGCTCTCTGGATGACGTCGTCCGTGCTTGTGGGACTGCTGCATTGCCAGCGAGTGCCGTGCTGGTTTGCAGCCTTGCTCAGCCTTGCTACTAGCGTCCACAATAATGATCCCAGCACCTGCATGACTGTCCTCTAGAAGTAACAAGGCTGCAGCCAGCCACCCTGCAACCGCAGTAGCCTACATGCAGTGCAGGCATGCAGGGGAGAGTACAGCCTGCAAATCGGGACTCTGCGATGGCCTACCGTAGCCTCATGGCCAAGAGCTCCATGACTTGGCCACCAGCTGCTGAAACCACGTGCAGATTTCGTAGATGTCCGCCATGTTAGCTTGTAGAAGACCTGCAGGATTCTGGAAATGCAAACAGGAAAGGGAAGGTGAAGATGAGATTGCACGTCCACAAATACGACAAGCGACACGGGAAGGATACATCTAATCCCAACCTCGACACTCATCCGACTCTCGCTTGGCATCTGCTCCGGCATGACTTCTCACGATGCTTCCTGTTCCTGGCAGCAGATGACGCGAGAAGCTTGCCGTGGACTCGCTGAAGTGCGCTCGGCGGCACTCAACACTTCTCAAAAAAGATGCCTCATCTAGACATGGGATTCCGAAGGCCCTAAAATAGTTCCCTTAGTAGTAGAATCCTTATTATAAGGATCCGAAAATACGGCACCCCTCATTTTCGGAAACTCCCATATGTGGACGGTTCCAAGACAGCTCAACGGTACGTGTACATAGCAGCTGCCCGAGGCAACGGCAGAAGCTTCATCCCGACATCACTTTTCGACGTCGTTTTGGCGGCTTGCCGTTGAACAAGCTGCCCAGGACACCCGCGAAGGCCTCTAGCACCACAGTTTGAGGGACGATTGTTGTTGTTTCGAAATGGCCACGTTTCTACATCTTGTACGCAGCCTGCTTTGGGTCTTAAATTAAAAACCTGCCGCAACTCGCGATACTGAGGGCACTACGCCTGCAAAAGCTGCCAGCGAAGTGAGCAAAACCTCGCTTCTATGTGGCAAGGATGCTAGCCACCGCTTTGCTCGCTACCTCTGCTGCCTCCGGTCACGCTGACTGACTTGTAGACACAATATAGATACGTGTAGCTCAAGAATTGAAAGAAACGAGGGCTTCTCCCGCAGGCTGAGGTGTTGGCCCATTCCAGGTGCTGCTCACTCCATCCGTTCACCTGACCAGCACTTGAAAGCAAATCACCGGGTGCTGCAGATCCACAGACTCACATCTGCCACACATATGAACTTCGGTGTGGGCTAAGCCTGTCTGCCGGAGCCTGCCTGACGCGCTCCGCGTAGGGCGGCAGGGCTTGGACTCGCAAGCCTTGGATGTTCAGCAGAAGTTCAGTGCCTAAAGACGGCATCAATCATAGGGTGCTGCCCTGGCGTTGTATGGCTGCTGACCCTTTTTGCTGCTTGCCCCACCTGACCAGGCTGTAATGATGCGTTCCGAGCCAGGCTCTGTTGCCGAAAAGCCACCCGCCAGGCCGAAGGGGGGCACGTGCCTGGGCGGCTTGAAAAGTAGAGTATATCAGATTTCCGTGGACCATGGGATTTATTCAGCTCCGGGCAACTTTGGCAACTGCCTTCCCTTGCTTCGCCTGGCCAGAGAAACTGTCTCCCTTTTGAACATGGACATGGACGTTCAGACATCAAAGAATCAGCCCCGCAAGACCAGCGGTATTGACATGATAACTAGTTACAAGAAAAAGAAGCAGGACCAAACCAAAATATCGCTGGATGGATTGCCTAAACCAATGCACAAATCGATCGACAGAGTCCAAAACACGAACCGGATCAGCCTTCGTGGTTCGGACCTGGATACCACGCAGCACCAGCGGATGCTGCTGGGCCTGGGGCACTTACTGCTGCTGCTGATTACTCTCCTGTTACTACCACATACTACTACGGCTACTACTCCTGCTGCTGCTACTGCTACTGCTACTGCTACTACCACTACTACTACTACTACTACTACTACTACTACTACTACTACTACTACTACTACTACTACTACTACTACTACTACTACTACTACTAGTACCACTGCCTACTACTACTACTACTACTACTACTACTACTACTACTACTACTACTACTACTACTACTACTACTACTACTACTACTACTACTACTACTACTACATACTGCTTCCCACTTCCTACTTCCTTCTTCCTCCTCCTCCTACTACTATTATTACTACTACTCCTACTACTACTACTACTATTATTACTACTACTACTACTACTCCTACTCCTACTCCTACTCCTACTCCTACTCCTACTCCTACTCCTACTACTACTACTACTACTACTACTACTACCACTACTACTACTACTAGGACTACTAATACTACGACTACTACGACGACTACTACGACGACTACTACTACGACTACTACGACGACGACTACTACCCCTACGACTACGACGACGGCTGCTATTACTAATACAACTAGACACATTGCTCATTACTAGCACAACGACGACTACCAAAACTACCCCCAATGCCAAGCCTGCTGAAACCACTAATACCAAAGCCACGAAAACAAAAGCTCCTACTACTACTACTACTACTACTACTACTACTACTGCTGCTCTTCCTCCTGCTCCTCTTCCTCCTGCTCCTCTTCCTCCTGATCCTCTTCCTCCTGATCCTCTTCCTCCTGCTCCTCTTCCTCCTGCTCCTGCTCCTGCTCCTGCTCCTGCTCCTGCTCTGCTCCTCCTCCTCCTCCTCATCCTCCTGCTCCTGACCTTGCTACTACTCCTGCTTATGCTGCTGCTGCTTCTGCGGCTGCTCCTCCACCAAATAGTGAAAGTAAAGACAATAGTGGTGATGTGCGGTGCAGAAAGAAGTTTGAATTCACGCTGTGGCAGGGATCAGCAGCCATCATGGCGATGATCGTCATGTTCATGCTGTTCTTCTAACAGCTCTGATGCTGCCGTACTACACTATCTCCCGGTCCCGGTCGAGGTCAGGGTGAAGGAACCCTGACGTAGGGAGTAGTCTAGTTTCGGTAATGCCTCCACGGAAAGCTTGGAACTGCTTGGCACCTGTGCTGTCTGAGCACCGCGCACGGGTGACTTGGATGCGGATGCACCGTACCTCAGCCCAGATTTCTGTTTCGGCTTCGGCTGGTTTGAGCCTGAATACAGGGGCCTTAATCACTAGTACAGGGTTTTGGGTCCCACTAGTCTATAGTCAAAATCAGGAGCCCCCAAAATAGTATAGGTATTCATTCAGGCCCCTATAGTTTTTCATGCCGGCCTGGCCGGACACCTCAAACCAGCGCCTCTGATTCAAGAATTCCCGTCTTCTCGTGGATGATGAACCTAATATAGAGGCCTTAGCAATTAGAATAGGGTTCCAGAAGGGCTCTATAAGGATTACTATGAGGCGTACTATGGGGCGTGTAGTATAGGGGCCTTAATAATAAAACTAGGGTCTTGGGGTACGTTCTAGTATAATTTTAATAAGGAGCCAACAAAATAATATTCTGGCCCTGGGGTTCCCACATCTCTGACCGGTGTGCTGAAGCTGCTGCGCCAGAATACCTCCAAGACGGAAGTGCGCTGGTTCTGCCGTCAGTATTTACTGCTGCGAATACAACATTTGTTGTCATTCTCGCTATTATTGCTGCCGATACAGGTCTTGAGTCTTGCGGTTGCCACTCTTCCTGCTAGGACTCACTTCTGTGGTAAACTCGTCTGATTACGAACATTGGTGAGTAGCCGCAGTACTACTATGGTCTTGGTGTTGCCATGACACTCGTGAACTACGTAGCTTTACTGCCGTGATGGCTACACTGTTATACCACTTTGACAACTACCTCGGCCCTGGCCGAGCGTTTTCAGATTGCATGAACTGGCCACTGATCCCGAATCGCACACCCTTTGTGTGTCGCAAGTCGCTGTCACTACAACAGTGAGAGTAGCATCGAATGCTTGGTACTTGCAACGTTCAACAATTACGAGTCAAACCAAACCACTAACTCTTGCTGAGGGACCCCTTACCCGTAGATCTCAGTGACGTCGCATGGCAAAGCCTATGGCTGAACCAGGAACCTCCTAAGCTTCAATCTGCCGGCCCCTGCTTGCTGGCATTCAGGGGATACCGTGGGAAAAAGCATGCATGCCAAAGAAACTAATGCAGCTCCTTTTGATGAAGACGGGTTGAAATTTCCGGGCTGAAGACACCTCTGCTTTCGAGGTGGTTCTGGCTGCAAGCCCAAACTCGATTCGACCCGGCATAACTCATAGGGTCCCTTAGGGGGGTAGGGGGAGGGAGATAGGGGACTATGCTTCCTTAAATAGGCCTTATTAGGTCCTTGTTTTCACAGGTATTGATGCCCCTTCCCCCTCCCCTCCCCCTACCCCACTAAAGGTCCCTATGAATAACTAGACGTGCTCTGCAAGCAGTCTGACCCCTCAAAACGAGGCCTCCCGCCCAGCCAAGGCTGTGATTTTCGTGTATCTGCTGCAGGATAGCATGGCCTTGGGACCGAGACAAGCTCTAGAACAAGAGTGTTACCACAATCATAGCACAATATTGCCTGTTCCTCGGGGGGGACGAGGACATCATGTTCTACCCAGAATACAATATCATCTAGGAATCTGCGACCCCCTACATATTCCGCTCACGCAGTCCCAGCATGGCACATATTCGAAGATGTTGCAAGTGGCAGAGTCTACACAGAAAGAAACACGCCTCCCTCTCAGCAACCAGCACTGGGGTCGCTCCGCCCGTACCCAAAGAGCCTTGGGACATGCTTGGAACTGTTGGGGCTGTCATTTTGCCCACATAGCCAGGAAGTGCGATGTCAGGAACTGGTCGGTATCGGAGTATCGGAAACCGCGAACAGTTCTGAGAGCATGACATCTCCGCATCATCCAACGAATGGTCAAAGTCATCGTCGGGAACCTCCGCCTTCAGTAGGCAGAGCTGAGGAATCCATATGCGACGGGCCCAAACTCCGACTTCCCCTCAATTGATCCCTGATCTTCAACTTTCCGAGGCTCCAGCCCCTTTGTTCTGGCACTTCTCGCAGGCAGGCCTCACCTTGTCTTTGTGAGAAAGGCTTCCGTGGCTGAGGGGAGTGCGCTGCGACTGCATGGGTCGAATGCGAGCTGCCCGGCATCTCTAGTTGAGCATGCTCTGGACTTGTTTGTTCGCTTGGGTAGCTGGCGTGAATAGCAGAAGCATGCACTTGAATGCCGTGCAAAAATGAAGTGAGGTCTTGGCATAGCCACCCATTCGAAGGTTGACGGCCTCAACCTGGGCAAATTGACATCTGTGGCAAGATGCTGAGCCACGATATCCGCTGCATTGGGAAGCACTATCGTCAACGATGCTAGTGGCTAATGGTATCCGACCCGGACTCTCATAGCTGTGATGACGACCACGCTGACAGCGACAACGACACCGAGACCACTCGTATAGGTAGTAGTAGCACCAATACTCCTAGGCGGAGCAGGAGGCGGAGGAGCAGGAGGAGGGCAGAAGAAGAAATAATACTCGTGGTGGTGGTGGTGGTGGTGATCGTAGCAGTAGCAGTAGCAGTGGTAGTAGTAGTAGTAGTAGTAGTAGTAGTAGTAGTAGTAGTAGTAGTAGTAGTAGTAGCAGTAGTAGTAGTAGTAGTAGTAGTAGTAGTAGTAGCAGTAGTAGTAGTAGTAGTAGTAGTAGTAGTAGTAGTAGTAGTAGTAGTAGTAGTAGTAGTAGTAGTAGTAGTAGTAGTAGTAGTAGTAGTAGTAGTAGTAGTAGTAGTAGTAGTAGTAGTAGTAGTAGTAGTAGTAGTAATAGTAGTAGTAGTGGTAGTAGTAGTAGTAGTAGTAGTAGTAGTAGTAGTATAGTAGTAGTAGTAGTAGTAGTAGTAGTAGTAGTAGTAGTAGTAGTAGTAGTAGTAGTAGTAGTGGTAGTAGTAGTAGTAGTAGTAGTAGTAGTAGTAGTAGTAGTAGTAGTAATAGTACTTGTAGTAGTAGTAGTAGTTGTTGTTGTTGTTGTAGTAGTAGTAATACTTGTAGTAGTAGTAGTAGTAGTAGCAGTAGTAGTAGTAGTAGTAGTAGTAGTAGTAGTAGTAGTAGTACTTGTTGGGTACCCTAAATATTAGGTGCCGTATCATAATAGGGACCCAAAAAGGGACCAAAATTTTGACAACCACCCAGATCGAGGCTTCTCGTTGTTCTTCGGGATTGGCCACTGGGGCCAAGCGGCCAATAGAGTCGCCGGGCCTTAAAGCCTGTCTTTTCGCGTCGCATCAGCTGCGACTGCTACTGCTGCTACTACTACTACTGCTGCTAATTCTACTACTACTTCTACCTCTACTTCTACTCCTGCTGCTGCTGCTACTACTACTACTACTACTACTACTGCTACTGCTACTGCTACTGCTACTGCTACTGCTAACACCACGACCACTACTAGCACTGGTACCAGTGCTGGTGCTAGTGCAGTGCTGCTTTGAAAGTACTTTTGTTGTTCTTGGCTGTGATGCGAGTCCTCGAGTCTTGTCTTGTTTCAGTGGAACACTGACAGCAGCTGTCAGCACTTGCGCAAACAGGCCGTGCTGGGCAGCCGACATCATGGCCTTGTTTGAAGGTCAACTCCACCCAGGAACCCTGCAGGTATAGGATTGGCTGAGTAAGATGAGGTGCTACCTGTGTCCGTGCTGGCAATACTTCAGCTTTCGGGTAGCTATGCTAGGTGTTCTCTGACAGGCCTGAATCTGATAATGCAGCACCGAGCACTAACTTGACAAGCCATTGCCTCCTTTGCCGGTGCAGTGACGTCGGCGGTCTTGTAGATGGCTTTGCACTGGCCGTTAGCCTGTCATGCTCTAGACATTTCGAATCGAAACCTGGTGAATTTCCGACCGTTCTAGTAATGGCACCCTTCACCATGTCACGTCTGATGCCGGGAGCAGGAGACTACAATGAATGATACACTCTTCCAGTCATGGGCATCTCCAGATCTGCTAACAAAAGTGGACAACTGGCGGCGGGTGTTCCCATCCGCAATCAACGTTGCACCAGCTTGAACCATGTCCTGTACCATGCGATGAAGTGTGAGCAGCACATCCCGATTGTCGCAACTCTCAATGCACTTGCTTCGTCTTGTCATGGAGCTTGACAACCAGCTCGAACAAGCTGTGAAAGGCACCTTTGGGGCAATCGCGGCAATGCCTTGCTTCATGCCCACCACAGGTGACCTCCAACAGCGACACCAGCAAAAGTCCGTCGGGATTGAGAAGAGGGAGGAGAAGCTAAGTCAGCCACGGAGAAATTGCTTGGGCTCACTTGCGTTTGCGATTTTCTCTTGCTGAATCTTCAGGCCCTTCATGTGCCCTCACCTCTATGGATCGAAGCGAACATGTGCCAGCCTTCTCACGGAGGTCAGAGTCGTCGTAGAGAGATTGCAAGAGATCTGCCCGGCCCCTTATATAGCACGAAAAACCGAACCCATGGCATGATATATCAATTCAGCCGTGCCAGAGAGGATATTCCAAGGCAAGGAACAAGTTGGTACTTGGCACCACCATTCTTCGGGGGTGCACTACACTATGCTGCGGCCATAACTCAGACGGTGACACAGCTCACATGCAACACAAAAGAACTGTCTGCCCGAGCGTGGCCTTAATATCCGAGAGCACGGCTCCATGTTGCTGGTGAGCTCTGCAGGGGGGTTGTCGAACAACGAGTCCAGGAGCGGGTTCTTCTTGAACCATATCTGAACATATTTGACAAGGCGGCTTCACCAACGGACAATGACAAGGTCTCATGCAGCACTTCGGGATTAGAGATCACTGTGTCTTTTCTAGTCAAAAGAAATGGAGCAAAGCTGCTTCCGTGGCCCGTTGGACTTTTCCTTGCAAGGACGAAACGTCCCCGAGGTGCTCGAGAATTGCCTGAAGGCAGAGTCCGTTTACGAATGCATCCTTGCTCCGGAAATGTTCATGTACCATAGAGTGCGGCCCGCCTCTTTGTCCTTGGCATATAGTATTCTGATGTCTGAGCGATCGCCTTTGGCACCACCTGTCGACATGCAGAAACTGCATTCTGGTGCACTTCATAGATGCTTGGGACAGCTTCCGAGATGTTTCCAAAGGCACGGAGCCAGCTACGTTTAATGAACTTGCTGGTTGCAACCTCCCATTCGCATTGCATCCACACCAGAGAATGGATCCCTTGCGAGCCTAATGCGAGAGCCTTGGGCACTGTCTGATTGCCAACAACATCAACGAAGTCCCAGTACAATACGTCTGCTGGTGTTTGAGGAAACATCACCAGCATCTCCTCGGTAGGAAGCACAACATGCAGCACTGCACTCAAAGCGGGAAGTAACGCCCTACCCGGGAACGCCCAAAACCCTTGAGCTCCCTTCAATGGGACAAGGCGTCCAGTGTCCAGGGGCTACTGCCATACACCATCTTAGTTCAGTCACCCTTCATCGAAGTTCCTATGGACCTTCAAGTCGCACTGAGTATTTTAAGCCCAGCGTCCATCCACCGGTGCAAGATCTTGGAGCGGATGAGCTTCCGACGATGACCGAATTTACTGAAATGGATGCAGAGCCACGGAACCTTCTGGGAAGTCAGGAGGTTTACGTGCCTCTGAATGAGCATTGGGTAGTCCTGGGCCAAAGGACTGCCCCACTCCAGGGACATGAAAGTCTCAGCCAGCGGCCGCAGAAATTGGATCAAAAGCGCCAGATTGATGTTGTCAGGGCGGCGGGAAGGCTCTGGATATAAATCCGGTGAAGGATCCAATAGGTGCACAAGCGTTTGCTTGTCCGGACTGAGCTTCCGCAGCACGTCCCCGATGCCTTGGGTTCCGACAGCTTCACTAAATCTTGGCTTCGGTCCTTTACAGCCCTATAATATAGGGACCTTAACAATTCAGGGTTATGGGGTATCTTACACCTGTAGTTCTATGAAGGAAACCCCAAGATAGTACTGGTAATTATCTAGGCCCCCCATATTCCGGGTGTTTGGGGTATCTTATACCATAATCATAATAAGGAGCCACCAAAATAGTATTGGTAACTATTTAGGCCCCTATACTATACCTTATCGTATCCCTTACAGTACCCCTTATAGACCCCCTAGGAACCCGTGTACTACAGAACGCGCAAGAGCTGCCGGCCTGTGAGTCGACACCGATCCTGCCTTTGCAGGCTTCAGGCTGTCTTCGAAGTATCATGGCAAAATCTGAAATGAGTTTAGGGCTTGGGGATATAATCTGCTATAAGTTATAAGGTTGCACAGAGGCATGTACGACTGTTATGCCGCGAAATAAAGGTGGTTGTCGTCCTCATGATGCAAAGCCTTTGCAAAGCGCGACAAGTACCGAGGCTGAAGCCTCTTTCTCTCGAAGACTGCATCCAAATCACGACGAGAACGCAACAAAAACCGAAACATACAAGCCGTCACCCTCCACGAAAACAGAACAACCATCCCCAAGTACATGCCGGATCCTTGAAGCTCTCGGCGGCCTTTGACTGACAGCGCGCCCCGAACTAGCTCCCTCCCCCATCAGGTCAGGACGCGTTGAAGCAAGCTCTGGCGCTGCGCGCGCTGCGCAGCTGGGGACCCGTGCGCCACGAGGATCCCAATCACGGCGTCGCCAGCGCTGAGCAGCCCCTCGAGGATGCTCTCGGCGAGCTCCAGGGTCGGATCAAGGATAAATCCCACAGAAACGAGGCCTCTTGAACGTTGGACCTGTTTGGGGTCCCGGGGATCTGGACCAGGGCCAAGATGCACCAACTTCTGGGGACTGATGCTCAAAATTCCAGAGCCCATAGAGCGCCAGTCGAGAGCCAGCGCTTCTTTGCGAGGTTCTCCCGAGTTGCAGATGGACTGAGCCTGCAAACGCCTCGGGGGCGCAGGCCGAGGCATGCTGAAAGCTTGACGGACTGCCACCGGTGGGTTGGAAGATTCGGTGGGAGTCACGAAGCAGTAGATGAGAATGTCAAGTGCGACCAGGTAGTACAGAGTCCACCAACTCAGTAGCCCGGAAGCTGCTGTCACATCGCGACAAGCACACTGGCAGGCCCAAACAGCAAGCCAGGCAACGCCGCCTGCAGAAAAACCAACAAGTGCTGCCAACAAAGCATGCTGTAGCGAATACTGTACATCTGCCTTCGGCGGAGGCTCCTCCTGCAGAGCTGTCGGAGTCGAAGTCTGCTTCTCGACGTCGAGACTCTGCAACACTATCTCCCGGATCGAGACCCACTCGGTTTGCCTTTCACGCAGACCGACGTCCAAGCATGTTACACCCTCCAGCTTGCCTTCCCAGACCTCCTCTGGCTCGGAGATGTCTTTGAGTCTGCTCGGGTCGCTACAGTCGCTCCTATGAGAAACTCGTAGTTCTCCCTTTCGGATGAAGTCTGCCTCGTGGCCCTTGCGGCCTTGACGAAGGATAACCTGGGCTTTGTCTGCGGAGAAGGCGTCGTTCAGCTTGAGTCCTTGTATCAGTTGAGCACCCGAAGGTTACTTGGTAGTTGAGACAGGTTAAACTCTTGGGATCGGGATTAACATAGCTCGCCAGCAGCTCCTTTACTCTTCCGACTGCCGAGGGGCTGAAGTACTTCTGCCTTGCACAAGATACGTCATCCTTGTCCTTCTCTGAGCAGGTATCCGCCGACCAGAATCCCAGTGGGTCGCCCGGTGGGTAGGCAGCTTGAGGAGTGTAGTGCTGACAGGGGCGGAATTTGGGTCAGTTCTTGGGATGAGCGGGCAAACTTTCGATCCTTCGAGAGTCTCCATGGAACATGAGATCGGATTATTCTTGGGGCATAGGGTCCGTTTGGCCGAAGCTTGCGCCTGGTACGTCTTCATAGTACTTTCGACCGTTGCCCTGGGATATCCTTGGCCAGCAGATGCTCGCAACGAAGAGACTAGGCTCTGAAAGAGGAACCTGCTACTGCTACTGACACTTTGCAGCACCACTACTACTACTACTACTACTACTACTACTACTACTACTACTACTACTACTACTACTATCCGATCACTGTACAAGAAATGGTTGGATAAGAAACGTAGGGGCTACGTGAGTCGGATAGCACCAAACGACCAAAAATTTGGAACGCCTTCTAGGTAAGAAATGAAGGGGCGCCCAGCGTTTTAGCGTCGTTGCTTGTTTGGCTAGTTTCTAGAATTCGGGTGTTCTCAAGCCTCGAAAACCCCTCAATGATAAATGTAAGGGGCCACGTTTCACATTTCGGGTTGTTTGCAGGTCCTAATGCTGGCTACTGCCACTGCTACTACTCTTACTACGACGACGACGACTACTACTACTCCCTACTACTACCAGTAAGTGCGTGGGTCTACTTTTTTTCATTCCGAGGAAAATATCTAGAATTTTTTAATTTGGTTTACTTTTCCCGCTGGATTACTTTTTTGTGTTCGAGGGTTTGGTTTACTTTTCCCGCTGGGGCGTTTTATGCTTCGTGTCTGTGAGGGTGCATTTCAGATTCCAGGGTCATTCCGGCTGGGTTTGATTGAGTTTATGTATGTATATATATATATGCATAAATTAGGGGCCATAATCGCTGAGGTGGCTGCGCAATCCGCCGCATTGTCTCAGCTTCGGCTGCAAGAAGAGAGGTGAACCCAAACCCTTAAAATATACTAAAGATCAGCCATTCTAGCCCTTATGAATGAGTTTAAAGTTATATATTTATATAGCTTTGTCTGAGGCTGTAACAGCGGTTCTGAACCCTATAGAAGCCCGATATAGCCCTTTCTGAGCCTGTAACAGCCGTTCGGAAGACTATGGAAGCCCTGAAATATTGAAACCTGTACAAACCCCTTAGAAGATCTTCTATGTATATAGACCTTAATATATAAAAAAAAAGCCTGAATATACAGGGGGTCCGTTCCCCCTGTATATGGCTCCAAATATATTTAGTCTCCTATATAGAGCTCTCATAAACTGGACAGACTTACATAGCAAAGCCGCACCGAAGCCTAATTAGTCGTCGGCATGCTGGTCATGGCCGAGAGAATTCAGAATTCAGACGTTTGGAGGTGCGCCCTCCCCCATGCTTGCTGTGGTGCAGTCAGTCCTTGTGGCGCTTGATTTGCTAAATGGGTTGCTGCCTTGGTTGACAAACTCCAGTTTGCAGCTGTTCTCCTCACAGCTGGCATGCTCAGGTACAAGTTGCAGCAGCATGTATAGACAAGCAGTTAGCTAGTTTCGAGCAATGCGGTGACAATTCGAGTTTCGGAGTGCTGAGTTGAGGGATGTGGTGCTAGTTCGACTTTGCAGTGTCATAGTGCAGTGCTCCTTTGAAGGACCATGGCTAAATTCGCTTCCCTGGAAAACCTCCATACCGCATGGCTGCGGGACAGGGAGATCGCTCAACGGCTGGATGCCGGAGGGCGTTTGGTTCGGTCCTATGATGGGCTCTTTGTCAGTGCTTCTGAATTGCATTGTGTGCATAACAAAGCCTTGCTGACTCCATACATGATTCGGCAACGCCGAGAGAAAACCCTTGACATTCCAGATGTTGAGTCGTTGAAATCAGAGTTGAAGGCTTTGTATCAGGCCCGGCTTGCACAGAAGGAGAAGCATGGGAAGAAACAGCCAAAGGCTGTGCTTGAAGCCAGCATGGCTTTGGTTGAAGGAAATTGCCATCTTGATGCCAAGACCATGAAACGCCTTCTGTCTTATGCTCGGGCTCGGTTCTTGAAGCAGGGTGCAAAGGTTAAAGAGACTTTCCTGCAATACTGTTTCGAGTGTAGTGTTGAGCTATATGCTGCTGGATCATCGTTGCTGTTTTTGATGCCCAGAATCCGGACTTCGCCATTCTGCTGAGCTACTGGGGCGATGAAGATTCTTGCCTGCAACACCATGGTTGAAGGAGTGCATTGTCAATGTCCTTGCAGTGTAGGCAGCATGCAGTTCATGAACAAATATCATGTAAGGACAAGTATCCAAAGGGCGGAAAGTGCACCCGTTGGAGTTGCAAAGAGGTTGAAGCTCGGGCTGAGGAGGACGAAGCCGCAGGCCTTCATGATGCAATGCAAGAGGGTTATGAAGGAGAGGAGGAGGAGGATTGGGAAAATGATGAGGTGGTTGAGCCTCCATGTGTGGAGGAAAGCCATGCAGAGAAGCCACCCAGCAAGCCCGTGCAAAGCGATGGAGAGAAGCCCCCCAGCGAGCCCATGCAAAGCAATGCAGAGAAGCCCCCCAGCGAGCCCGTGCAAAGCCATGCAGAGAAGCCGCCCAGCAAGCCCATGCAAAGCCATGAGAAGCCTGGTGTCATTCATACTGACAGTTCGAGGTCCATTGGTAGTTTGGCAAGCAGTGCATCGCTGGCGACGACGGTTCTAGAGACTCCAGATCCCAAGCACAAGTGCTTTTCAGAAGCAGGTAATGGGCAGATCACGCCATCCCCTCCCTCGTTGCCTGTGCTCGTCAAGGAGGTGTTGCTGGTGGTAGACTCACCTAAAAAGGTCATTAAGCAGGAGCCCGTGGACAAGACCCTGGCTGATGTTTTGGCTGAGACGGACGCCTTTGACCGAGAGGCAGCTTTGCGGGAGTTGGCGAAGCTTGAAGCAGAGCTGTTTCTGAGCTCATACTATGTCATGTTTGTGGATTCGTAGCCATGAGGTGCATGTGTTGACATGTATTTTGAACTTTATGGTTTGTCTTCGACTCATTACACAGCCAAGTTTACACTTGGAGACTTCGCGCGGGAAGCCGGATCCGAGCCAGATTTCCCGAACCTTGGATCTTGATGGGTGTTCTCGAAAGAAAGCTCATTTGGGTTCAGCTGATGTGAGAGCATGATGACAGTCTGATTTGTGTTAATTTGAGGACGTGAGCTCGCCTGGTCCAATGACAATGATGAGACGCAGGTGGCTACCGAGAGCCAGATCACGGAAGCAATGGCACAGGCTGCAAAGGACAGGACTCCTGAAAGGGTCCCGAGTGAGACTAGTCCAGCAACCAAGCGGGTCAGCCAGCTTTGTTAATCATCATGTGCAATACAAGGTCATTCAAAAGATTTGTAATCAAACAAGTCATTATTTTAGTGGGGGCTAACACTGGGACCCTACAACACTATATACAGAATACATACAAGGTTATGCTCGCATGGGGTATATTATGGTTTTAACTTTATATACATGCATTATATATACATGGCTTGGATGTTTTCTTACAAAGCCTGCTAGGGCTCCTTGGGACTACTGGTATAGCTGTTGTATACGTGTGTAGACTAGTTGTTGTATAAGTGCATGTGAAAAAAAGTGGTGTAGTGTGGTGCTTACTAGAATGAAAAAATTCATCATGTGTTGGACACGATGCTAGACATACCCAGGATGATATGGAGAAGGAGCCGGAGCTTGCAAGGGCCAAGGCGGTTGAATCTCTTGTGCCAGTTGTGCCTGATCCACCTGCCAAATGGCTGAATGTAGAACCATGTCATGTTACTGTGTTTCCTTGTGTTGACTGTGAATGCTGTGCTGTTTCTGAGCATCTCAGGTTGTGACTCGGGAGGACCAACTTTTAGCTCGGCAGCAGAGAAAAGCTGAGGCCGAGGCCAAGAAGCTGCAGCAGAAGAAAGATAAAGAAGAGAAGGAGCTGAAGAAGAAAGAGAAAGAAAATAATGCTCACAATGAAGAGATTGCAGATAAGAAGACTCGGAGGACAGCTGCTAAGAGCAAGGCCAAAAAACAGGCCGCTGAACCAAAGGAGCCTCCTGTGGCTGGGGATGAATGTGAGCAGGGAGCTGAGGGTGAGGAGCCCACGCCATCGGCCCCAGCCTGTGGTGGTGGAAGGGCCCGAGGTGGTGGCAGGGGTCGGGGCGGTAGGGGTCGGGGCGGCCGGGGCCAGAAGAGGGCAGCAAATCAAGAGCAGATCAACCCGACCCCTGTGAAGCGAGTCCGTGGAAAGCAAGCAGGCAAGGGAGCAGCAGGTGTTGCTGTGCCTGAGGAGGGGGATGCACAGCCTGCAAGGGCAGGCAAGAAGAACAAAGCTCCGGATGTGTGCGATGAGGAGCAGGCTGCAGGGCGACGCAAAAGGAGGAAGAGTGGCCTTGCCGAGACCCTCGAGCAAGGGAAGGCTTTGGCAAGGAGCAAGGCAGAGGCGCTAGCGCAGGGCGTTTCCCCAGAAGAGGAGGCATCTAGACCCAGATATGTTGTGGTTTTCGTTGTGTGTGCAGAGAGGATGAGAGATTCATTGCATGATGGATGTTGTGGTTCAATCAAGATATGTGTGCTCATATGTTGCCAAGGAAAAGACCCGTTGCAAGGGTCTCATCTTGAAGACCAATGGCACCCTGAACAATTACACTTTGATGGTTTATTGGTCACGGCCTGGTGTTGGCATCAAGAAGAATGCTGACTCGAAGCAGGCTGTTCAGTTCTATAGATTATATAATGTCAGGATGTGATTTTCGTTGTTTACTACGTCGTTTGTCTGGATTTGCCACGTGGTGCAGGTTTTCTACCTCGGGACGAAGGGTGTATCCGTGACCCATCTGGTGAATGCTGCAGTGGCATGTGTGCCCCAGCTGTTTCATGCTTGATCGAGAGTTCAGTGGCTGGCAATTGAGTTGGGTACAGAGAGAGAGAGAGAGAGAGAGAGAGAGAGAGAGAGACAGAGAGAGAAAGAGAGAGAGAGAGAGAGATGATAAATGCAGATCGAGCGATTAACCACGCACTTACCAAGGCAAAGGTGCTGGATGAGCATGGCCATGAGGATGATAATCAATATGTGGCCCAGTTTCTTTATGCAAAAAAGCAAGAGATGAAGGACCTGGCCACGAACTGGGAGCTTCCCAAATGTGGCAAAGCCACATCCTGAATTTTGGTGTTTCGGTGTGTGCCGGGGCCAGCGAACTGGCTTGCTCAT